TATGTTATGTCTAGTACACCATGCCTTTGCTGCAGCTATAATATCTTTGTACAGAGCCGAACTTGTAAGTCTTATTATTAATGTGGGATTCTACAAGCCAAATCAACCAGGAATTGTAGGTGTCAGGATTGACATGAACGCCATCAATTCTTTTAGTAAACGGATCGAATGATTCAGATTTACAATAGCCTAAATAATTTATAATACCACTTTCAGGAGAGAGTAAGGTTTTTTCAGAGAGAGCAATATGATACTTCACCTCCTTCCAGATCTTGGCTATGGCCTGTGCCTTCTCTTGTCCTTGGAGTGTAGACAGGGTCTTGCTATGACTCTCCATCATTTCATCGTATTGTTTTCTCTTTGGTCCAGCAGGAATATTTCCAGTGGCTTCTCTGAGTTTCCAATTCTTTGTTAGAGCCTCTATATCAATGATTGGTTGAGAATTAAGTTTAAGCAACATATCCTTAGAATTATTTTGGATGATTTCTAATTGATAACAAAGTCTTTCCTTCATGGATTGATTAATAGGAGCATTCTTACAACTATCAATAAGAGAATTCAATTGTGTCAACATGATGATGATACATTCTACATTGTGTTCTTCCATGAAAGGATTGGTCATTATTGGAGGATGGAAGCCTTGATTGAATAGTGCTGGAGGAGGTTGATTGAATGATGGATAGCAGTGTTGGAAGGAATTGTTTGGTTGTTGAAGGCCTTGATTGAAATTAAGAGATGGAGTTTGATTGAGTGAAGGATAGTTGGATTGATAACTCAAATATTGATACATGGTATTTGCTTGTTGCAAAAGAGAGTTCAGATCAGATGATTGAACAAGGTTATCAAAGCCTTGGTTGGCTGGTTGAGGTTGGTTGGTAGGTGGATTGAGTTGATCATTGAGGTTGTGTTCTACTAGTGGTAGGGTGTTAGCCTGTTGCAAGTCTAGGTTTGAGCAGCCTAACAAGTCTAAGAATGAGTGCACATCAGATACCTCTTCAGTGGTGGCAAAGATGTCAACTTTGCCTTCTTCATATTCCATGATGATAACAATTTTAATTTTTTTGATTTCAATAAGGTACAAGTGTGTGATTTTCATGATCTTTTTAAACTCATTCAACACTACAATCTACACGCACCTAAAGCAACGATTTGGAAAACTAAAACTCTTTTGGTTGACAGGTTTTTTTTATCCAAACCATCCTACCCAGCATTCTTATTTAGTCCAAATAACACCCACCAAAGCCCACCAAAGCCTCTCACGCAATGTTTAGATGATTATTATCTAAAAATAAAAAAACAAATTTAATTTTATTAAAAAAATGGCCACATATGAAGAACAATTCTTGCCAAATAATGATGATTTGGTTTTAAAGAAACTAGCTTCCGACTTGTTCATCTACATTTCTGAAGATGTTTTAGAATTACGAAAGATTAATCCAAATATTGTATTTCTTATTGATTGGAACTCAATAATGTCTCTTCCCAAAAATTTAAAGTGGATAGCTAGAGGACAAGAATTAGGAGCCCAAGAAAATGTTATTCTTTACATGAAATTCTCTAATAGAATTAAATATTTATGTAGAGATTTACCTGCTTGCCTATGCAAAGAACCATATAGCAAAAAAGTATTTAATGAATTTAAAAGGATGATTCTTCATATCAAACATAATTCATCATCAATACAAGCTAATGGACGTA